ATATATATATATATATATATATATATATATATATAATTATATATATTATACCATATAATAATTTACAAATACATTTTATAAATACTTACCTAAAAACACTAGAAATAATGATACGAAGAAAGCGCATTATAATATAAAGAGTGGGCGTTACACAATCTTAAATTGTGTGTTTTGCTTATTGTACTGTTTATTTACTTACTGCGTTTTATATAATGCCCATTTAATTTGACATTTGCTTAAATCAACATCGACAAAACATGAGAAATACCTACATAGATTTAGGAATGAGAAACGTGTAAGTGTAAGGGGCTCTTGCAGTCCATGAACATCTGCAGCCAACTCTAAACAAAGAAGGCTTTAGATGTATCATCACCTCTATCATCATCATTATCATCATCCATGACAGCCCTTCACAAGTCCACTGCTGAACATAGGCCTCCCCCAAGGAATTCCACAAAGCACGGTCCTGAGCCACCTGCATCATCGACTTCCTGCATGTCTTACTAGGTCGTCACTCGGGGGTCGCCCTACACTTCTTCTACTGGTACGAGGCTGGCACTCGATAACCTTTTTCCCATCGGTCGTCGATTCTTCGAACTATATGGCCGGCTCATTCTCACTTCAGCTTACTAATCCGTTGGGCTATGTCACTCTGATTCTACTGTGAATATCCTCATTTCTAAGTTTAACACGCGGAGAAACCCCGAGCATAGCCCTCTCCATAGCTCGCTGAGCAACCTTGAGCGTCCTCACACGGCCAGCAGTAAAGGACCACGTCTCAGATCCATAAGTCACCTCTGTACTTGATATTATATCGTAGTATTTTTTATACTATTAAAATTTATATATAAATATATATCAAACTGCACCCGTTTATTTTTATTTATTAATAAAATTAATTGAAACTGTCAAAGTTTGTTTCTTTTTACTATTTGTATTAAGGTGACGGAGAAATATAATGCTCTAACACAGGTCGGCATGGAGTCGTTAATTAGAATATTTGTCACGTCGACAGCTTTCCCGGACGAATGCACGGTATTCAATTTGCGAACGATTGGGACGCCATGATGGAGTATTGACCATTTATAATGGTTACCTCCCTCGCGTAATACATTGCATACTAAATTGGACTTTTGCTCAAAACAATAACTTACGAGTAGTTGAAACATGAATGAATTTATAGTTGCATGATATGATCGTAAAGATCAAATATTTCACTTTATTTTGGTTACACTTTTTATAAAATTAAACGAAGGGTAAATTGAGCGAGATAAGAACGTTCGAAGAAAAAACTAAGTCTCATTACGTACGAAGTTATAAATTCCACAAATACATTATCGAAGTACGTTCTTCGATCAATTTTATTTTAAATTAATTGGTGAAGGCTTACAGTCCTATAGCTATCGTTTAAGGAACTGCTATGGAACTCGTCTCGTAATGAGCATATCTGCAGTGGAACTACTGTTTCCGCCATAATGTAACAGATAAGTCAGCTGAAGAGGCAATAGGCTGGCAATATAGCTCGAAGAACCAACAAGCAATGGGGAAGAAAGGTTCACCAGTGGTAGCTTCTTAGTGACGACCTGGTAAGAGATGCAGAAAGTCCTTAAATACAGGTGGCTCAGGATCGTGCTATATATGTTGCATGCACTGGGGCAGGCCTATGTTGCGCAGTGGACTTGTGATGGGCTGTAACGATGACGGTTATGAGTCAAGGTTGAGAATTTATCTGTGGTCATCTTTCTTTGTGTTCAGTTGATATCGATGGGTTAGCCTCTTAACGGTAAACTGCAATTTTGCTTGTTAGGTGGGTACTCAATTATTAATAAAAAAAAGAAAATGACTCCATGATCTATGTGATACTTGTGCAGCCGCCACTCAGAACATAATGAAGTATTTCAAAAGTTACAAACCCGTCACAAGTTTCTATACATACATCTTAAACTTTAAATGTGTGCAAATTACCGTTACTTCTTCCAATTCTTCAACAGCCCATAAACAAGTCCGCAGCTGGAGCTGGGCCTCTCTCTAGGATGCCTCTCTAGGATGATGGATAATTGCCTTAATGATCACGCGTAGGAGGCGGAAGAAAGAACGCGGTATCAGACGTCTCGCATTTTGATGCAGCACCTTCGTTGGTCTGGATATTTTACTAGCATAAAGAGATGATTATACCACCATCTATCGGAAGCCATAAGACTTTTGCGACACCCACGGGACGAAATGAGAATACCGTTATGACATCGCCACTTTACAGCAAGTCCTAATATTTTACGTTCGGGTTGATTAGTTGCGGATTATGTACGAAATATTGTAATTCAGATCCACCTACTTTTCGTGCGAATCACTTGAAAGTTTTCTGCGAAAACTAAATAAAAAGTTTGCACAAAAACCTTTTGTCAAGGTAGGTATTTATTACCTTGAACCCTCTGAACATAATGTTGTGAACATAGAATACTACGTGTTACAGTATTCTATGGTTGTGAAGACGTTAAAGGAGTAATATCACATAGTTTAGATTCCTACATATTTTAAAATTAAAAGTGCATAGTTTAAGCCATAACAAGTTTATAGGAGTTCGTTGGTTTAAACACAATCAGTCGGTATACATCGCATACGCACCTACGCATACTACTGTCTGTCAGTAGTAATATACCGTAGGTATATGTAGATACAGTTTAAATATATATATTTAAGCTGTGGTATAGTAGGTACGCTCATCGCGGTGATACATAATAAAGCCAAGCGGTGGTCCTTACTCCTAACTCTGTGCTGGTGAGCTGACGTAACGTTTTTGTTATCTTATCGCAAATACAAAGATGATTTCTATTGTAACAATAATGTGGGTGTTAAATAAAATTTATGTACTTATTTGTTATCATCCTTAAAACTTACGATAGAAGTTATTAAAAGTAATGTACACCTACAGACGTCTGCCAGTAACAATAAAACAGTTTTGGTATAATGCTGTTGTAATGTAACTAATTTTAACTCTTGTAGGTAATATTGTTCAGTTTCTTTAAATAAAAAATACTCTTATATTTTGGAAATGAAATAAACTATTCACATATAGAGAAAAATATTTTTTTTTTAAATACATTCAATTATAAGTAAGTACCGAATTCCAACGTGCTCAGTAGTGAATGAAAACGTAGTATTGAAAACATGTGATGTCCGCCAATAGTCACAAGAGCATCATGGTGAACGGTTTTGATCGAAATAGCTGCTTTAAGAACACTATTAATGCATATAAAGTATTAGGATTACCACTGTCAACTTAATGGATTTTACACCTACGCAAAAAAGACCATTGAAAGAAAGAAAGAACTTAAATTTATGTATCGTAACTATTTAGTCATGTGATCTATCTAGTATGGCAATATTTGGCTAATGGTAAATGGTAATCACTTAATTCAAGTAATTTTTCTTGTGGCTATTTACCGTAGTAACTGAAACTGTACTGTAGAAACTATGTTGTGCTATGCTTTGCTAGGTATATAGCTATGAATCCAAACGTTCCATCTAACTAAAATTGTTATTAGCAACTGATCAAAATGTAGGTATATTAAATATGACATATTTACAAAATAATATTATGATTAAAAAGAGAGCTTTTTGGGAGATTAAGAAGATGTTCATGTTAGGAATTTGACAGGTCAAAAACCAAATTTTTAATAAAATAAGAACGTACAATTAACTAAACAGTAATTTTTTTTACTTATTTTTTTAAATAATTATAGTCAACCAAATCTAAGAAATACATTTTGACAACTGTCAGACTTATTGCACCAGGCATGCCAATCAAAAAATGGGAACGTACAATATTCGATTCTAAAAAAATCGATATCGAATATTTAGAGTTGGTAATCATTTACAGTTTGGTTTGAATAATACCAGAATACATTTAAAACACAAGATTTATCAGTTTCTACGTATTTGCTGTTACTGCTTATTTCTAGAGGCAGAGTGATAAAAATTTAAGATTAAACCCAGATTAAAATAAATTTATTCAATCACTTTCAGTACAACTAGTTGAGCTGTCGTTGTTTAAATTAATTATTATTTGTTTTTCCAATAATGCAGTCAAAATTAAAGTAAGTAAGTTCTCTTTCAAAGTCATCCATAATAATTTTTTTTTTGTTTTTTTTTTCTACCACTTTTGCCAAATGATCCTTTGTGACATAGGCACATGCTTCAACGAATATAGAAGAAACAGTCCAAAAAGTTAACGCCGAGTGACAAAATAAGAGAAGACAAACACAAAATCACAAAATTACGCACAGTAAGCTCCCGAAATGGCGGATATTGAAATTACGTAGTGGTTTTTTCAGCCCGGCCTTGTATATGAGTTTTTTGCCTACACAAATTTACGTTGACAAATTAAAAAAAAAACTTGTTTTATTCGTGATTTATGTAATTTAAGGAATTATAAATATGAAAATTAAATTAAACAAATAATATATAAAGAAATTAATGATTCGATTATTTGAATATTTTTACCGATTATTTGAATGTTTTTGCCGATTATTCGCATAACTATGCATTTTAATTATCCAAACACTACGGTAATGTACATAGCGATATATCATTGAAACGACGTCAAGTAAAAAAAGTTGATACTGGTTATTTTTTAATATTTTGCTTTGTTTGAAAGATTCAAATTTAAATTAGTGATAAAAGACTAAACACGTTGTAAAGAAATCTAGATAACTTTATAATTCTTCGGATTTACGTAAAAGAATATTTTAAATCGTGCGAGTACGCTTGTGCAAAGTTATTGCGGAATGATTAATGTGAAACGTCAAAAGGTATTTCTTAGATTTGGTTGACTATACAACAATTAATAAGCATCCGATTTAACATTACGCTCCATTGGGATTAATACCTACAGCGTTGAAATACTGCAGATGTCAATAACTCACTATCCTCCAATGTTTGCTTTAAGTATAACAAAAATCTTTTAAAATAGCTGCAAACTTGAATTAAGAATTTTAACTCACCTGTATAACTCTCATGGGAAGACCAGTTTCTTTCGCCAATTGCTCCCGTATATGCCTCGTTGGTTTCGGAGTCTGTGAGAAAGCTGATTTCAATATTTCTAGCTGCTTCGCTTTTATCGTGGTCCTTGGTCCCCGCCTTTTTGATCCTCCGTTGCCATCATCCGGAGACTTGTTTTCGGCTTGTGAGTCTCTCGTCTCCGGGTCTCCGTCCAGCGATCCCTGGGAGGTGAACAAGTACAACTGAATGCGACTATGTGGTGTTGTGGCATGCTTTGTGATTTGAAATGGTCACGCAATCACAGACCTAGTCGAATGTAGTAAAATCTATCTATAAAGTTTTGTTCTCCCATGAATTAACGTGGAGAAATAACAGGCTTTCACAGAATAGCATGGTAAAATAGATTTAAAGCTGCTGTGTTTCGTAGGTCGAGTTTAGGGAACCGGATATGTTTTAACATCTATATTTTGATTCTTAATCGAGGATAAGTGTGGGTGTTTGTCTAGGAACTACAGCATCCATTTACTATCAGGTGGTCTTTATGCTCCTTAGTTACCCTTATTAAATAAAGAAAATTAAGTTTCATTTTTATTTATATACCTATTTACGTTTTTTATTTTATTCGTTAGGTTCAAATGTTCAAAATAATATATAATTTTTGAGAACTCAATTAAACACAATAATATTAACTAATATAATATATAATTTATAGTTATATTTAGTTTTCATTATTATTTAATTTTAATTTCTTTTATTTTTTTACGCTATAATAAAGTAAAAATAAAATACCTGAGATGAGATGTGATGTAAAATTGGGAACCAACTCACCTGGTCCTCAGAATCCTCGTGCGGCTTCGTGTCACCATTGTGCGATAGTTCTGAATGAAGTGCTGGATGCGGTGCGTGCGCTGGACTGCTGGAATTGTTGGCTGCTCTCGCTTCGTCTTCTTCTTCCTCGTCTGACCCTGAGCCTAGTAGCGAATCTGCTGTAAAAGATAAATGGTATTAGTAGGATAATACACACTATAGAAATATTATAAACCTATATATATATATATATATCGACCTGCGCCATTTAAATGCTCGACACCTTGTCACCTCTGAGAACCAAGATAGAATACCTGACAGTCGATAACTATACTGGCTCCCTACATTCTTCAGACTGGAACACAATAATGGTATATGGCGACAGGAATACGTAAGCGGAAATACGCGTAAGCACAGAAATATTATATTCCAAAATTTCATAAAGGACGTCAACTAATACTATCTCTATTCTCAATTATACTCTATTAAAGTTCTAAGTGGTCATAAATACTAAAAATTACAGTAAACAAATTTTATATTACGTATTTTAAAAATGGGCATAAATAATTTCTCAATAACATTTTAATAGATAAGTTCATCTAGGCGCATCCCTACGTTCTGAAAATTGACTTATAAAAACCAATCTCTCGACCCTACACACGTTTAACGCAATAAAAATGCAATTTTAGAAAGCGACTCCCCCAAAAGAATTGGAAGAGAAAGAATTAGCCGCAAAAACAATTACTTACGGTTGATATGGGGAAGTTAGTCACCCCAACTAACGGTTTTCGATAAAGCCCGAGTTCACAAAAATGGCAAAAAATATAATGAAACACTCTGCTTTTTCTGAACACACAGCATATCTTTTTAGGCGACAGGACGAGGATTTAGTTATAAATAAATTTAAATGTATTTTTACAAAATTAAAAACAAAATTACCAAAAAATTTACTTATTAATATTTTAAGAGTAGGGATAAAAAACCGTTTTGACGTTACTGTGTAAACATTAGGGTTGTAATCATTACAAAATATTTGCAATGCATTTTTTTTATTTACCATTATTGTGTTCCAGTCTGAAGAATGTAGGGAGCCAGTATAGTTATCGACTGTTAGGTATTCTATCTTGGTTCTCAGAGGTGACAAGGTGATATATATATATATATATAATTCCCCTGGTGTTGCGGTTGATCATGGGCGGCGGTAGTCACTTAACATCAGGTGAGCCACATGCTCGTTTGCCCCCTCTTCTATAAAAAAAAAAAAAAAAAAAAAAATATTTGCGGTAGGGAACCAGAAAGGTCGTAGGTACTTGAGTAATCATAGAATATATTTTTTGATAAGTTTTCTAAATGTAGAGTAGAATAGTAAGTACATCCATAATTTTATTACACACACCAAAACACATAGTATATAGGGTATGATAAAAAATTGCAAAGAAACACATTAAATTTGATGGCAGTATATTCGCGGTGTTATCGCTAAAATGAAATTTTCGGTCATGAAAAAAGTATATGCCTAAGAATCTTTGAAAAAAGGATCCGTTCGGATTAATAAATGCCTTCAAATAAAAATTACCTTCAATCAATATTGAATAAAAGATATTCTATTCGGCGTATGGTGGGACGCATAACAGGTGAAATTCACTTTTTGAAAAAAAAAGCCTTATGTGAAAAGAAAAATATTTTTATAAGTTTTTCTTTATGTATAATTATTTTAAGTAACATCTAAATTTAATGCATTACACTAACACACATAGCGTCAAATAAATCGAAAAGAAGGCACTTTATTATAAAAATTTAAAACATAAACAGCTATAGTAACCAAAGAACATGCAAATAAATGTTATTGCCTAGTGAATGTTTCAAGCCAGGGCGAGATGAGGTGACCGGGTGTTCGCCTGAGGCAATATCAGGGCGTGTTCGCGAGAGCATAACATCTGTCAAGGGGTGAGATCAAGCTATCTGTTTATGCAACGCGATCGTTCTACGCATTACATTACAATTTAATTAATACAGTTAAATAAAAATTAATTATAGTAACTGCAAAAAGGTTTTCGTGATTTTAGATACCTCTTGAAACAAATTAAGCAAAGGTTTGCTTATTGATCTTTCTTTTTATTTAATATTCTATTAATTAAACAACAAAGCACAGATACTTTTACTGTTATTTCTACGGCAGTGTCAGAATATCCACTACACCATGTCACCCCGTGTGTGTTGTAGAGGTGATAGAGGGAAAAACCAGTATATGGGCTATAGCATTCTCCTAATAAAAAAACAAAAAACAAAAACGAAACAAGTGGTTAAATAAAAATTTTGTACAACTGACTTCAATACAAATAAAATGACAACATCATCAATGTAGTCGAAATCAATAAGGTGATCGCTACCAAGCTATTTCTAATTTGTTTTGTGCTGTTAATTGTAACATACATGACTCTACCTAAGCTGTTATTTAAAAAAAATTGTCCCGCTGGGTTTCTTCCTGGTTCTTTCCAGGACAGAGGTTTTTTCCGAATCAGTGGTAAATTAAAAAAGTGACTTTCAATAAGTATTATTTATAATCTATATTAAATAAAAAAGTTTCTGTTTCAGTTTATTAAATATGAATTATTAAGGATAACTCAAAAACTGTTAGTCAGATCTTGATCAAATTTAGGTATATGTGACTACATGAAAAGCACCAGCTTTCAAATAAATAAAAGAATCATCAAAATCGGTTCACCTAGAAAAAAAATCTGAGGTAAACTCATTAAAAAACAATCTACTTGAAAACCTCCTCCTTTTTTGAAGTCGGTTGAAAAACTGCGGCTACCAACCCGCCTGCTAAACGTGGCGACTTGACAAAAATCCCTCCTTTGAAGAAATCTATGGAGAGACCTATGTTCAGCAGAGGACTTCCGTTAGCTGTAATGGTAAAGATTAGTTGACCGGGTTGTTCCAATACATGTTGGCGGATCTCACAACATGTCCTCGAAATATTTTTATGTCTCAGACATTCAGGTTTCCTCACGTTGTTTTTCTTAGAGAAAATTATTTTTGTATGGAGAATGGACCCACTACAAATTAGCGCGTAACTTAATGAAATACATGCCGATTTATTCCTTTTAATCTCCTAATAACTCTAGTATTATTAGTTTTACCATATCTAAAGGGAATACTGAAAAGTTAACAATCAAACAGCAATCTCACTATAACCTAAAATCTTATATGTGCGAATGTCTAGTAGTTTTAATCTATATTCTATGTTATAATAGTTCACCGATAACAATAAAAAGTATAAAAAAGTTGTAGGTTCTTCAAAATCTTAAATACTACTTGGTGGATTCTCCGGAACTACCAAAAGAATATTTCAGTAGTTCCGGAGAAAGGAGTTCACGAAGAAATAGACGGCGGTGATTTGTATGTATTGATTCTTAATTATATAATTTATATAATATGATATTTATTATGATTCCAGTCAGGTTTTCATAAAATCTTTAGCCAATTTACTATAGTAAATTGGTATCTTTTTTATGTGTTAAAACCATTAAATTACGATAAAATTTCTAGTGGGCTCAAAAACGATTATTTCCTTTGCAATTAAGAATTTCATTGGTGTCGGCGAGGAATTAACTCAGGATAGTCGCGTGAGTATCTACTGCGAAATTTCAAGAAGGCCTGTGCCCAGCAGTGCGACGTAATTTTTTTTACTGTTACTGTTTTTAAGAGAAAATATGCGAACTACCGCACACCGTACTGCAAAGTGCAAACGCCAATCTCACTCGTACGCGAGTGCACACTGCTGCCCTGATGGAGCTGAGAAACCCCAAAGATGAGTGACGGGGAGTAGCAGTATTAGAGCGAGGGTTTCTGATCATGCTCACGAACTTATCCAGCATTGTGAGCATGGGAAACACTTTAAGAAAATATGTGAGTGAATAGGTTTTTTTCTAGCGTTCAGTTAAGTAGTAATTGAGCTTTATCGTCTCCGGATGCAGCGCCACTTGCTTATTGGATAGTATTCTATCACCGGCTTATAATAGTTCAAAACTGCATGGCTTCTGGTGAATACTTGAAAAAGCATATATAACTCAAAGGCTTCAAATAGCAGTCGATGATGAAGATGATCGTAATAAGAAAGGCATTAAATAATATAATAATAGATGACTATAGCTAAACAGAAAAGAAGCTGCAGTTAGTAGTATAGTCGTAGCACGAATGGATCGGCTCGACCGGGGAAGGACCACGCTCTCACAGAATACCTACCAGCGTAAAATAGTAGCTTAATGCTGCTGTGTTTCGTATGGTGAGAGTAGAGAACCGGCGACCCTTTTTACTGGAAACGAGGCATTCCATCTTGGTCCTCATGGATGACAACGCATCTGCATTTTGATTCGTAATCGAGGATAGATGTAGGTAGATGTCTATGGGCCACAGCAACTACTTACCATCAGGCGGACTGTGTGCTCGTTTGTCACCCTATCCTATAAAAACACATTCATATATACATATATATTACACACGTTAATTGTACATAGACCAACATACAGATCCGTAGCAATTACAGCCTTATAAATAGTTGCTCTTACAAATATTGTGGGAATCGTATGTGCAATTCTGAGCACCGCAAATAAATTATTAACTAATGCGCTAATGCGTCAAAACAAAAAAAAACATCATTACAACGAAAAATAAAAATTAACGTTTCCTTAGCTTATATAGAGAGAAGTTGACTTCTATTAATCTTATAACTTTTCCCAACCAATCCTGACTTGCGTTTCCTTTAAAAGATTGCAAGTCACTGCGAGGGAAGTGGGGAAGTTCATTAAAGTTCGTAGCAGCTGCCAAAAGAACCTTGAAATTATGGAATGTTGACTTTTGAACGCAGAAATGGAGTGTTATAAAACAAAACATTTTCCATAATAATAATACAAACAAATAGAAATTTACTGTAGGTACATTGCAATATTCTTTCGATTCGATTTCGATTACGAAAGGTTATTCTAAGTTTTACATCAACAAATTAACTGATGATATGAAATTAGCTGAACTTTATTAAAAGTAAGTTACTAAGTTTGTTTATCAAAAATACAATTTTTTACATTTCATTTATAGAATCACGCTGGGCTAATTGGAGCGTAAAAATAAGAGGAGGTCTGTGCCCAGCCGTGGGACGTAGCAATAGCTAGGAAATGCT